CCCACAAGACTGGCTTGAGAGGGTAGCAGCACTTCTGTTCACTTAATGATCATTTAGGGCCATGATTCTGCAATCTGATGCACATGGATGGATTTTTGCACCCACGTGGAACCTCACTGACTTCACTGGGATTTTGAACTAGTACAAGAGTCTACCCGAGAATCACAGTGCAGGACTGGGACCACTACCTTAATAGCTGCACCATCAAAGCAGTGTGTGAAATAATTCAAACTTAGGGTATTTTTTAAAATCAAAGGTTAGATTATGTGAAGAGTAGTATAAGAACATATAAAATTGCAGTGATTACAGCCACAAAAAAGCTGGAATACACACTGTGGGGAAATAGTACCTAACTGTTTCACATTGAGAGAAACCAAGATACACCAAGTTGTCCCCCACCCGAAATAGCTCTCTTCAGTCAGACTTTGTTTCTTCTACTGTGGAAGAGCGTAACACAAACAAAATCCTTCTTTACCTTTACATCTGCCACAGCACAGGATTTTAAAGACATTTTAAACCATGATCATTTACACTCTGAACACAGTCATCCCCACCAAGGTTAGGAAGATTTGAACTCCATGAGTGCCGTTCTTTTTTAAGAAGAGAAATATATGAACACACGCAGAGTGTCAGATACCTAGCAGAAACGATATTTCATTTTAACCCCAAAACCAAGAATGTGTGAAGGACATGAATGAGGTAAGCGGGATATTATTCACCTGCTTCAAGTGTGTGTAGGCTTAGTTGTCCTGGCTGTACATAGTTATCCTATGGTCCTGATGCTCCAAGAACAGAAGAACATCCCTCAGTTTGTTGTTTGGGCCTTTGTTTTACTGGGGGGGAGGGCTGCTTTTGCTTTCCCCACCATTAGCTTAGCTGACCTGGTTGGATTCTCAAAGGCAGATTAAGTTTTGCATTCTTCACTGTATAGGAGACCAGGAGAAATCATTTGCCTGACCCATATGGGACTCCATTTACACTCCCCACTGTCAGGCTGGCATCTGTCATTATTCTGATTGTTGGAGGTTCAGACAGGGACCTCCTTGTCCTTTGATAAGTGAGGGATTTACGTTAGTTAAAGGTGGAAAAGCCATTCTGATGGAGGGATTCTCAATGGATGAACTTATGTCTGCTCAGGTGAGTTCCAATGGTTGATCAGGGGATCTTGCAGAGGAGGAGAAGCAGAATTGCCCAGAGTACTGTCTCCATGCAGATGGCCATGCACCTACTTGCTGAAAGCACTGGTAAAGTGAGACCTGCCAGCTTCGCCAAAAGCTCCTCTTGTGGAGGTTTGCCCAAGAACTCCTAGGTGAATGAACTTCTCAGACTGGACTGAGGAACAATTCTGGTCATTGACAATATTGTGAGTCTTGAAGATCTGGACAGTTCTGTTTTATATTGGTTCTCATACCATCTTCTTCACCATAGAATCTGAGGACCTTCCCACAGTGCATTAGGCAATCTGCCTACTATATTATGTGTGGCTTGTTTGCTTTCATCCTCTTCCCAATGGGAGATTGGATTGTGTGTGCAGTGTGGTTCTTTTTTCATACATACACGCTGCTACATGTTTATGTTAGAGAAAGCAGGTCAAAGAAATGCACCTTGTACTTGGAAGGTGGTGAGGTTTGTGATCATCCTTAGTTCCTGTGGGAATTTGTTCCCAAGTCTGCAACCAGCTCCCAAGGAAGCTCTGTCTCCTGAACTCTAGCTTTACCCTTACAGCAGAAAGTTCCATTGAGCCAGAGGAGTGGAGTGGTTGACCATAATCTTCATCCTGGAGCTTTAGGTGATCTTTTAGATATCCAGTGCTCAGACCATTGACAGCCTTGAAAATAAGGACAGAGCCCTTGTGCTTGACTTGATATTCTATGGAAAACCAAGGTAGAGTGTCAAAGTGATGCTTCTTCACATGAATAAGACTTTGATAAGAAGCCATAGAGGTACTGGTAAAACGAGATGCCCTGTGTCTCAAAGTGGATGTCAAGATAACCACGCACTTTGGGACAACTTGAGATGTACAATTACTATAATTGGTTGTGGCTTTCTTGACTTCATCTCTCAGGTAGCACTGGGGACATAGGTACACCAGAGTACAGAGACAAACCTTCGTGAGGTTGATTGATCACATGAAGGGGTTTTCTCTTGCATTAGAATAGCCAGTGTCTTCATTCAGGAAAAAAAAACCTTGACTACTGCTGTACTCCATCTGGACCGGACAAATACTGGGCTAAGCTTACTGTTTTTTGTTTTTAGTCTCCACCCTCCCTCCAAAAACAAACAAACAAACAAAGAAAACCCTGCTTTTTCACTGAAAATGGAATAATGAACCTGAGGGTGATGACATGTTCCATGGAACTGTCCAGCACTACTTGCCAATTACTGGTGTCCTGAGGAGGGAGAAAAGACAAGAGGGTAAGAGAGGGAGCATTTTGGGATTCTATGCCTGGTCTCTGCTCTCTTAGAAAGCCCATTTGTCTGAAGCAGTACCAACCTGGGAGAAGAAAACATTCGCCAATCTTCCAAGTGGGTAGAGATCATGAGCCAATAGAACTTCGCACTATGGAGGGGAAGCCATCTCAAGAATAGTATCTTTAGTCTGCTGATATTCCTGTGATGACACAGATTTTGGATTATCTAAAAAAATGAAGCAGACATTGTGGTCCAAGGAGAGTTTGAAAGATTTGTCCGGCTGAACCTATTAGTATGGTTCCTCTACAGCCCTGTTGATGGGATCTTTTCTTCTATGTCCTGGAATCCACTGGTATCCAGAATCTCCAACAGAGATTCAGGCATTAGGAAAATGGCTTTCCCCTTCTTCCTATGCTCACGTATAGAGGGTCTTGGGCTAGAGAGAGCTGAGGGTCAGGGTTTATGCTTGTTAGGGTGTAAGTCAATAAAATTCATGAGCCTCAACTCTTCGTACAGGAAAAGGAGACCAGATAAAAGGATGAACATAGAAATGGACCCTCTCCAGCTGATGACCTGGATGAATACTTGGAGTGATTAACACATCCCCCAAGAGATTAAACTCACTGTGGCTCTTTCTAGTGTTTCTTTCCTTTTTGGGTTTGATATTTTGGAGATGGGAGGAATCTCTTGTCCTCTTCCTGTCCCTATCTCAAGTTGGAACTGCAGAGCAGCGATATCTGGCTGAGAACCTAGGAATACTGCAGACTGTCCGTAATAATGTGAAGCACGTTGACTTTCTTTTAGAATTTCTCTCTGAACTCCTTCAAGACCTTAGACGTTGAGAGATGTGGCTGGAGACTGTGTGGCAAGCTGAATGTAAGCTGTGTAACGAAATTAGAATGAACCAAGCTAACTGATGCTCTAAATTTCTAGGTCTGGATGATGGGATGGGGAGGAGCACTAAGATGAAGATATGAAACACAAAGTCACTTGCTCAGGGCTGCTGGTGTGCATGGCTGTCCCTATCAAAAATAAACAGTCTGATTTGAATAGAGTAGAGCAACTACCTGGGTTTTCACACTGCACATCAGAGTTGTCCTTTGGCTGAAAATGACTGGCTGATTCCTAAGGTAAGTGATGAAGAGGGGCAACGATAACTGTGACACAGTAAGGCAGTATTCAGGCATCATGGCTTTGGCCTTCCCCAATATCATATATCTAGGACAAAATGAGCCTGTCAAAGCAGCAGTCTTGGCCAAGGTATGCGACCCTTCCCTTCTCTCTTATGAAGCTGGCCCTTGAATCCTGAAGCTGCTCAGTGGTGGACAGAAGCTTCATCAGGATAAAATGGATGAAGATATTTAGCAGATCCCATCACCGAGGAAGCACTGAACTTGGGAAATGCCGAGCTTCCATTATGATCCCCTTCCAGAAACTCTCCTTACCAGCGCTGCTGCTAGACGGAAGAGTTAGTCAGAGCAAAAAAGCTAAAATCCTGTCTGGAAGAGCCCAGGATGAATCTCTGTCTAGCACAAAGACAGGAGCCTAATCTCTGAAGGTAGTTGGAGTTACATGTGCCCAGCAAGGGAAGCAGGCAAGCAGCTTGGGAAAGAAATGGCAAGAGTAATCTCTTATCCTTTGAAATGTGGGTTAAAGGTGGAAAACCCATTAGTACTCGAGTGACAGAAGAAGGTACTCGCATGAGAGAATGATGCCTGCAAAGTAAGCCTGCAGCGGGGATGTACGCAATGTGTCAGGACCAGGTCGCGCGCGCACGTGTGTGTGTGTGTATTTGCAGTATAGCCAGACAGGTGTCAACATTAATGCTGAATGAACTTAATCTTTGTTGAAAGAAATTGACACCGAACAGAGGGTTAACACTGCTACTGAAATTTTATTTTAGTGGAGTTATTGAAGATTCAACTTCAGGAGAAAAAAAAAATCCAAGCCTAAACATCACACGGCAATGAATTGCACCACAGAGAAAAATTTTTTTTGCCAGCAGGAAGGTTTTTATATCTTTAATACAAAAACTACACCCCATACAATTTTTTCATCTCATGCTGTTTTCTATGCGGGATAAAATATACGTATAAGTCAGTCCAGTAAATTACAAACACACATTTACAAATGGAAACTTAAAAGCCTGAGATCTCAACTAACACCCTTTGACTAGGTTTCTTTGCAACTTACCAAAAAAATCCCAAAATCAAGAAAACCACAAATTCTATCTAAGTGAATCCATAAAACAGATTCATTGTGGCCTGCTGGAAAGGACTCATCTTTCTACTCCGCTTCTATTCATTCAGTGTCAGTTAGATAATAAAGGAACCTATCACATCCATAGCACAACAGGAAGTCCTGTGATTTTGGAAGCTCTCCCAAGGGCTTAGAAAAAAAATCACCCAGGAGCCAAAGCTTATGCTTAAACTGTATTTTAAAACTTGTTCCCCATCTTTTTACTAGTTTTATCAATCAAACAATCAACTTCGCAGCAAAACAAAATTTGATATTTATAAAATGAAAGACTGAAACTCAAATGGATAAACACAGATGTTTTAAGACTTAATTTTTTTCCCAAAGCTTACCTTGCAGCCTTCACATGTAATGACACCATAATGGATTCCTGATGATTTGTCTCCACAGATCTTGCATGGAATAATTTCAATTTGAGCTGCAACAGAAGCACGCAACCAGTTAATTACATTTTCTTTTAAACACCTTATAAAAGCGTTCCCTGATCAGCATTTGTACAGTGAAAACTAATAACCTACTAAACATTATACTGCATTAACTATTCATTGCTGAACTGTGAGGGTCCCCCTAGAGCCTTGGACTAAATTATGGCTGCTCGTTATATAATAGCTTTCAGGTTATTAAAATGGGTCATTTGAGAAGGTGTTTAAGAACCCACAAGAAGGCTAGGATCAGCATTTCAAAGCCAAAAAGAACTGGGGAGTTCACAGTTTGGCTGAAGAACTAAATACTAAAAGGTTTCCTCAAATCTCCTTTCCTCAGAATTGTTACAAAAGGTATAAAGCTTGTCCTGGCTGAAAATCCATGATATGAATGTAACACTTTACACACAAGTGTCACGGCCATCTAGTCTACACTATTGACCAGTTTATACACAGATAAAATGCTACCAGTATTTCCCATATTTAAATGAAGGATCTCAAATTCACAAAAAATTTAGATTGAATGTTTATTATTAATAATTTGTGTATTAACACCCTGAAACTGAAGAAGGGAGGAAAATATGGCAGTACTCTAGTGCACTGGAGTATATCTTCTCTTCTGTCTTTGTATTTCTCTCCCTTTCTTGAGAAAGGACCACAGATGAACTCTATGAAAACAATGCTTCTTTACTGAACTAACAGCAATTAGAATTAAGTTTATCATGTTATGAAGCTCTTTCAGCATATCTCAAAGTTCATAAGGTGCCCATCCGGGCAAGTAACACACATTACCAGGGAGTCTGTTCTGTGTAAGTACCTCGGAATACATCCTCAAACTTCACCAGTGTATGTGGTTTGCATCCTTCGAAAGGTTCTATTACTAACAAAGTCTCTTTCAGGCAGGACTTTTCACCAAGTATCGGTAGTGTTTCACAGTTCAGAAGTCCAATTTTCTTTGTGTGTGTGTTCAAGCGCGCATTTTTTTATAAAATAGTGTGTACCTGAGCGCTGTTGCCTTGTATGCTTTGTCTCCCAAAATTCTGAGATTGGTTTATGCAATGCTGTGGGATCAGGCTTGATCAATTAAACTTGGCTGCTCCATCCATAAATTTCTCACAATTTCCAATGGAGTTTTTCCAAGATACAATGAGGTTTCTTACCATAATTTACTATCAGAAGAGCAGTTAATCTCCAATGAGGAGTTTAAAATCCATTAACACATTGCCTGATTACCTCTGAGAGACTTTATATTAACTTTGTTGAATTTATAGCTGTCCAACAGTAAACCTCAAAGTACATTACATCACAATATGTTTGGGGGTACCTTAGCCTTTTTTCTCAGCATGGGTTCATATGGTAAATGTGTCTGCTTTTCTGATTAGAGATTGTGTATTGTTCTATGTACTGTTAAGCACTTTGAACACCAATAGTGTGAAATGAATAGTTGTTAAGCAAGCAATGTCAATTTTTTCCTCTGATCCACTTGCTTGCAATAGGGAGTCTCACAGTTTAGGGTCAGGCATGTTATTTTAAGGACCAAAAACATTAAATGAACATGTCTTAAATTTATTACAGACATCTGGCAAATTAGAATATTCCCCAATCCATATAAAATGCAGTGAACGAAGCAACTACTGAGGAATAGTGACTTGCTCCCATGATTTGAATACTAGCTACTATGCTAAACTCAGGAAAGCAGCACCAGCAGCTATGCAACTACACAGCTTCTTTACTGACATTTCTGTACCAGTGGTTCTCAAACATTTTCACACAGTGGGGCACTGCATGCAACTGATTCTATCCTGGGCACCTCCTACTTCCAGACATTTAATCCCACAATTTTCCTGGGGCAGTTATAATGACAGGCTGAAATGAAAGTCATATTAGGATTCTTAAGGAGACTGGACCTCTGAAAGCTCTGCAGGCTTGCTTGTACCCTCCATACAAGCGTCTTTATTTCACTTTGCTGTTCCGCTCACACACTGAAAACAACAGGGGAGGAAGCTACCAAGTGTTAATTTATATTATTTTATTAATGTATTATATGCATTAGTAATTACTACAGCATCTGAGCACCTCACAAACGTTCATGACGAAAGCACCTCACAACAGGTGACATAGCATTATCCTTATTTTACACACTGGAAACTGAGGCACGGATATTATGTAACTGGCCTAATAACAACACAAAAATTCTAAGACAACTTCAGGAATAAATCATCCAGCTCCCACTTCTGTACCTGAAACTTAAGACCCACTTTCTTCCCTGCTGTTGTGAGTTAACATCCTATTCGAACTCCTGTTGCCAGTCAATAGATAAGACTCAACCGGATAGATAAACCTCAATATATTTTTAATACTCCACTTCTGTATATGTTATTGCTGTGTTGTTACTTGTAGAAACTGATGTAATAGGCTGTTTGTATGTTATCACTAATGCATAAAGTCTCATCTGAAGTTTAAGCATGCAATAGTTATTTCTTTACAAATTGTTAAGCAAGAGGACATTTGCAATTTGTTTCTGGAGAAATGTAACATGACTTCACAATACAAGCCTGAGGCTAAGTGATGAATAGTCTAAAAAGGGCAATAATTAGCCTAAAATGCATTGTCTGGAATGTCCTACTGCGATAATGAAATGGAATTTACATAAAACACAAGAAGGGAAATAGTTAGACCCTGGGCATGGAAGCATTTACTGATCATTATGGATAAGGGTAGTGGCACCAAATTAGATACGTTTTTAGAACTCTGAACTTGTCATAGAGTAGATTATCTTTAGTACACTTAGTTTCAATTATCACACAACATTTAATACTTAACCTTTACTTTTAACTTTTGAGCTACAATTCAGTAGAAGGAAGCTCTGAAGCATAAATTGCTTGGGATTGCCACAACCAATAATTGTATTAAAATTAACGCAGGGAAAGACATAAGATCAATTACTGCTTTAAGTGGTTGCTTTTGCAAATCAATATTAAAACAGAACCCTGTAACAAGTTCATATACCTTCTGTAAAATTATTAAAGGTCACAGCTACTTTATGGCTAGTGAATGCAAACTGCCTGTACATAAGCTACATGTTTTTCTTATAAGGGTGAAAATATGGCATCTTCTCTCTCATTTTCAACTTTGACATGCAAATATGCACTTGCTAAAATCTTGTTCATATGCAAACAAGACACATGGGAAACACTTTTGCATGTCAAAAATATGTTACAACTTGAGTTACTCACATTCCCAGTTTCAAAGGTTTCTGCACTATTAATGTTAATTGTGTCTGTTTAGTGCTTACACATCATTATACAGTAGGTTTTTTTTTAGGTTATATAAAATACTGTAATTCATGTTTTAAGCTAGAATTAGCCTAAATTATAGTTTACAATTCCAGTCTTCCAGGGTGGTGCTCAGACTGATTTTGGTTCATGCATGAACAAATTATTTCTTCCATATGAATTGGAGAAAAAATAAAACTCCTGTGGTTGCTTAGAAACGGCTATGGATACCAAGGTGACAGACATAGTTAGTATTGGTAGATTAGAATACTAAGAATATTTCATATTGTGGAAAAAAACATGTTCCAGAACCATACTGAAAGTGTCCTGTGCAGAAGAAAGTGGCACACTCCCACCCAGAAACTGAATTAAAAAACCCAAGCCACACACCAAGATTCCCAAATACAGGCTCAAGCTGGCAGTCACCTGAGTAGCAAAACAGGCCACTGCAGAAATAACTCTTGAGAACACAAAGTAGCCATTGAGGGCAAGAGGCAGTATTTCTGAATATCTATGGTATTTATACTGTCCCCATCACATTAGTGTCTGAGTACCTCACAGTCTAATGTCTTCATCCTCATAACACCCCTGTGAGGTGGCAGTACTATTATCCCTGTTTTACAGTTGGGAAATGGAGGCACAGAGAGGCCAAGTGACTTGTCCAAGATCATACAGAAAATCTGTGGCAGATCAGTGAATTGACTCAGTGTCTCCCTAGTGGCAGGCAAATGCCCTAACTACTGGACACTCCTTTCCCATCCATCCCTGATGTTTTGATGTGGATGTTTTATTGACCGGCTACATTACCTCTTTGACATCTGTTTTGGTTGGTACGGTTTCTTTATATTTGCATTTTCAAAAATAAAATTATGTTTGTTTTAGCCTAATTTCAAATGCACACTCGCAACAGACAACCAAAATCAGCACTAATTGGCATCTTTGTGAGCTGCCTATACTCAAAAAGCCTCCCTTCATCTCCTCCCACTCTGTGCTTCATTCCTTCCTTTTGTCCAGGTCTGGAACAGACTCCCTGCACTTCTCTGCCAAGAACCCTCTCTCACAGTCCCTCCCCTAAACCCATTTCTTATAAGAACATAAGAACGGCCATACTGGGACAGACAAAGGTCCATGTAGCCTAGTATCCTGTCTTCCGACAGTGGTCAATGCCACATGCACCAGAGCGAATGAACAGAACAGGTAATCATCAAGTGATCCATCGCCTTTCACCCATTCCCAGCTTCTGGCAAACAGAGGCTAGGGACACCATCCCTGCCCGTCTTGGCTAATAGCCATTGATGGACCTATCCTCCATGAATTTATCTAGTACTTTTTTGAACCCTGTTATACTTTTGGCCTTCACAACATCCTCTGGCAAAGAGTTCCACAGGTTGACTGTGCGCTGTGTGAAAAAATACTTCCTTTTGTCTATTTTAAATCTACTGCCTATTAATTTCATTTGGTGGCTCCTAGTTCTTGTGTTCTGAGACGGAGTAAATAACACTTCCTTGTTTACTTTCTCCAAACCAGTCATGATTTTATAAACCTCTCTCATATCTGCCCTTAGTCATCTCTTTTCCAAGCTGAAAAGTCCCAGTCATATTAATCTTTCCTCATACGGCAGCCCTAATAATTTTTGTTGCCCTTTTCTAAACCTTTTCGAGTCCAATATATCTTTTTTGAGATGGGCAACCACATCTGCATGCAGTATTCAAGATGTGGGT